AGGCAGTCCCTGGTGGGATAGAGTTCTGCCCTGGAGCTTCTAAGCACCTAGTTAGATGAACTTGTCCCTAGGGAGTGTGTGGTGAAGTGGAGGTAAAAAAAAAAAAAAAAATTTCTAAAGGGCTACATAGGAAGTGGGGAATGGGGGAAATGGAGAAAACAGAAAATAAGAGAAAATAATTTAAAAAACATAGTAGTAATTCATTATCTTTTTCTTTGAAAACTGGGGGTACTTGGTTACAATTCCCCACCGTCAAGTTCTGTTCCATTTCTTTGGGATTTGAATACTATATTCATTCTGGCTACTTCTGGCTGAAAGGGGTTGTAGGTCATTGGGTGTCAAAGAGGAAATGATCTAGTTGAAGTTGGAAATCTTCACAAGTGCCCAGTCTTACAGATGATAAAAAAAAAAAAAATATGGTGCAAGGTGTGGAAATTCTCTGGGAAACCCTGTCATGCAGTCTCATACAGAGGATACAACAGCAGTAAAATCCACATTGGAGAAGTCTACCTGTTTTTGCAACTAAAAAAAAAAAAATAAGTAGCTTCCATCACCAAGACGGTCCTGACCCGAGCCAGAATGCCATCCATGGATCTAGCGACCATGTCGGGGCAGACATAGTTTTGACTTGCTGGTGCATATCTTGAAAAAAAAAAAAATTTCCCAGATTATCTGGAATGTATACACAGCAGTTAGTCTTAATTAAAAGGCAGGTTCCCCACTGTCCATCGTAACTAGATATGATGACAGGTTGGCTAAATATAGATTTAACAGGTTATTGGAAGAGTTATAAACACTCATGAAGGTGATCATAAGTCCTGTCTAGTTCAAAAAAAAAAAAAAGTTTGGTTAAATAGTTGCATCCCATCCAGGAGGTGGCATTGCAGATGGGCTAGGCATTTACATGTGATGAAAGCAAACTTATGAAAAAGATTTTTCATAAGAGGCATTAAAAAAAAAAAAAAGTGGCTCATGCCTGTAATCCCAGCACTTTGGGAGGCCGAAGCATGTGAAAAAAAAAAAAAGGAGTTCGAGACCAGCCTGGCCAATATGGTGAAATCCTGTCTCTACCAAAAAAAAAAAAAATAGCCAGGTGTGGTGGCAGGCACCTGTAGTTCCAGCTACTTGGGAGGCAAAAAAAAAAAAATCACTTGAACTCGAGAGGCAGAGGTTGCAGTGAGCTGAGATCAAGCCAAAAAAAAAAAAAATGGGTGACAGAGTGAGATTTTGTCTCAAAAAAAAAAAAAAAAAAAAAAAAAAAAAAAAAAAGGAAACAGAAGAAAAAGAAAGGTTAATTTTGGGCAAAATTTATCCAGAAAAAAAAAAAAAAGCCTCTTTAATCACAGAGGAGGAAGGGGGTAGCCATCTGATGTGTTTTTCTCACCTGTATTACAAGGAATAATGTAATAATAATTTCATTGAGTTCAAATCAGAACAATGGAAGAATAATTTGAAAGCATTAATTTAATAATCTGTAGCCTGGAAAATTAATCCAAGTTGAAAAAAAAAAAAAAAACTCAAAAAACAAAAAAAAAACAAACAAAAAACAGACAAGACTAGAAAAAAAAAAAAAATTTACTATAATTCTTTTTTTTTTTTTTTTGGAGACAGAGTATTGCTCTAAAAAAAAAAAAAGAGTGCAGTGGCACAATCTTGGCTCACGGCAGGCTCTGCTTCCCAGGTAAAAAAAAAAAAAGTGCCTCAGCCTTCCGAGTAGCTGGGATTACAAGCATGTGCTACCACACCCACCGAATTTTTTGTATTTTTACTAGGGACTAGGTTTTGCCATGTTGGCCAGGCTGGTCTCGAACTCCTGGCCTCAAGTGATCTGCCTGCCTTAGTCTTCCAAACTGCTGGGATTACAGGTGTGAGCCACTGCTCCCGGCCTATAGTTTTTTTTCCAAAACATAATATTTATCTCTTTAATAAAAAAAAAAAAAAAGACAAATCATAGTAGGACAAATTTATTTGCAAAATAAGTTTTAATCTTATTTTGCGCAGCATTTTAACTTCAGACCTCTTGTTTGATGGAGAGACACATAGAATGCCCACTCATATTATCAATTAGGCCAGGTTCAAAAGTCCTTCAAGGTATGGAAACAAAATATTGAAAAAAAAAAAAAGAGAAAGAATTACTCCCACCCCTTCAACCGGGAGGCTTAGTCTTACGAAAAATGTGGAAAGAAGGAAGCCCTAAGGATCAATTACAACCAAAATGGAAGGGCCCCTGCTAAAAAAAAAAAAACACACCTGTGTGAGCCGAGATCATGCCACTGCACTCCAGCCTGGGTGAAAAAAAAAAAAAAGACTATTGTTGTAATGTAGGTTCTTGAG